GTGGAGGGCAGGGGCTGTTTAACCATCAAGGGCCTGTCAGCCACCAGTGATGTGAATTTTGTCCCCCACTGTTACTGAAAGCATGGATTCTGGGGGTCCTTGGCTGGTCTTCTGGTGTGAGCACAGGTGTGTGCACAAGTGTGAGCACGGGTGTGAGCGCGGGTGTGTGCACGGGTGTGAGCACAGAACAGGTGTGAGCACAGGTGTGAGCACAGGTGTGAAGTGTGAGCACGGGTGTGAGCGCGGGTGTGTGCACGGGTGTGAGCGCAGGTGAGAGAACAGGTGTGAGCACAGGTGTGTGCACAGGTGTGAGCACGGGTGTGTGTACGGGTGTGAGCGCAGGTGTGTGCACGGGTGTGAGCACAGGTGAGAGAACAGGTGTAAGCATGGGTGTGAGCACAGGTGTGTGCACGGGTGTGAGCACAGGTGAGAGAACAGGTGTAAGCATGGGTGTGAGCACAGGTGTGTGCACGGGTGTGAGCACAGGTGAGAGAACAGGTGTGAGCACAGGTGTGAGCACAGGTGTGAGCATGGGTCTGTGCAGCCAGTCTTCCCCCGGGGAGTGTGACCATCACACTCAGCAGGTGCCCCCAGGGCCGCGGCCCTTAGAGGTTCAGGCCCCAGACCCAGACGCGTCAGGAGCTTGTACGGAAAGGGCTGGACAGCACTGCTCTCGGCTCTGCAGGCCACGCGCCTCCGCTGCCTCCACTCGCTCCGGTCGCAGGCGAGCCGCCCAGACAGTAATGAGTGGTGGGCGTGCCCGTGTTCCCCCCGAGCTTGATTCATGGACTTGACCTTTGAGTTGCACATCACTCTGTGTGTCCTAAAACGGTCTTCTTTCTGGCTAACCTTTCAAAGCGGAAAAGCATCGCTAGCCGCGGGCTGTGCCCACTCAGGCGGCGGTGCTGTGGTCCAGTGTCGCTGACCCAGCCCAGGCCCAGCACAGACCTGGCAGCTGTGCCCGTGGGTCTGCCCGGCATGAAGCCAGCGGGACATGCCCAGCCTCCTTCATCCTCCCGGCGGCTGCCCACCCCCCCATCCCACACCCGCGGATGGCAGCCCTGCTCCTGGGAGGGGCCAGCCCCGTTGGCTTCTGTGCTGGACACACTCAACGTGGGAGACCCCATCCTCCCCGGGAAGGGAGGGTGTCTGGAGGCGAGTGGGAGGGACAGGCGTTAATGGGGAAAGGCCGGGTTAACCAGGCCCCGGCTTAACCCCACTCCTGGGAGAAGTCACCGGAAACTGACAGGGGTGTCGGGGAAGCCGGCGGGCGCTGGGCGATCAGAACACAGCCACTCAACGTGTCAGGGGAGGGAGGGCCATCCCCTGCGGTGCGGGGATCACCGGGGGTCACCAGGGGGTCACCGGGGGTCACCAGGTCTCTCAGAGCTGTGCTCGCTGCCCCGCAGCTCAGACTGGGCTGAGGGACCCGCGGCCACAGCG